CAAGACCTTCAGATGTGCCTGAAGGCTTTTGGTTGTGGAGGATTTGAGACGTCATAGCATGCTCTGAATTTTAGGGGATATTTATGTGACTTCTCTGGACAGTTGTGACCTTTCTAGGCAACTTAAGTTGTCAGTCAAAGCTTGTGATACCTCAAATTATCGAACATTTGGAAAAATCTTGATGATGATAAGTACTGATAATGCAAGTCCGTATGAGGTAAGTGCAGTGTTGTATATTAATTTGGCAACTTTTCTCAGCCTGTTTAGGTTTTGAGTGGATTGACAGATTCTTAAAAGGGATTATAGCTGACACACGGTGTCAGTTTGGGAGTATGATAAGCAGTCAATTACACTGGCAGTAGATGAAAATTGGTTGAAATGAGTGTCCCCTGCCTTATAAATCATTAGTCTTTACTGTGACACTTTTAATATTATTCATGCGAGGTGAGAAAGAGTAGGACAGTATTTGGGGCCTTCCAGGCTAGTGCAAGCGGTTGATTTTTGGTCCTAGCTTCTTTCCAGCCAACGCTTTTGTCCACGAAATACTGTCCTTGATTTCCTGCAGTTCTGGTGCCTTTTTGGCTGATTGGCTGCTTATTGCCATAAATACTTTATCCTCCACAACATAATCTTTAACTTGCATTTAGCTTTCTGGTTATGCCTGACCTTGCAAATGGCTATGTGTGGATAATGACTTCTAAGGGCTTTATTGTCTTAACTCAAAGTGCAACACAGGATGAAGTCACTACTTTGTAAGAGTTTTGAAAAAATTTCATCCAAGCTCTGTTCCTATAATGTGCTGTTTTTATCTGAGTGAGCTTCTCTGAATTTCTCTCTCCGGTGTTTGGCCAAAAGTTTAAAATAGTAACTGCTCTGCTTACTTCTGTTATTAAGAGTATCATTTCATGTATCTCATGATTTGCATATCATTTTGCAAGTGTCCAAACGGAGAGGAAAAATACTTTTGCACAGTCTGGAACTGAATTTATAAGGAACGTGCTTTAAACTGATTGTTGCTGTTAGTGTGTGTGTGTGTTGAATAATTTTAGAGGCTAGGAACAGTTTAGCATTCAGGTAGAGAACAGCAGGCTGCTCTATCTTACAGTTGGAATGGAAAATGAATTGCAGGGAGAGCAGAAAAAGGCAAATATTTTAATCTCTTAAAAAATCAGGTTCTATGCCTACACTAATTATTTAGAGGAATTCTTCCACTATTATAATTGGAGAAGTATCATAATATTAAAATGTTGATCTAAGAGATTAAAGAAGTTGCTGACTCTTTAAACACTCTGAATGTGACTAAAGGGCAATGGTAAAATAGCTGTCCTTGGACTCTATGCAATACTGAGGCTGCAGAAATATTATCAATACAGAAAATTACTGTAAAGTGTTGATAAAATCTATTTTGCTTTCTGTGAGAAATGCTGAAACCAAACCAGACTTTTGCATGAGACACGAGGTAACGTTCATTCATGTTTGAAAGAAAAGTGAAGACAGCCCTGCAAAGTGAATTAGAACACTTCTTCAATAAAATGCTGGCTCTTACGTTGTAAGTTAGCCTGTGAAAATGCAGAAAGATGCATTTGTTCTTGATTCAGCTTTTTCCAAAACTGGCATCAATTAATTTGAATTCAGTAGCTGCAGCCTTCAGTCTGTAGAAGGACGTGAATCTTTGTTTCAAAACATATGTGAATAAGGATGATGGATCAGTTTGTTTTTGTATACAAATAATATTTTGGTTCTCACGGGTTTTTTTTTCCTCTCTATTTCTGTAAAGATTTTCTCAATTTCCATGAAGTTTTGAGCGCTCTAAAAAGGTGCAGGAAGTCTCTTCTGAAAATGGCATGAAGTGGCAGTGAAAGTTGGAGGAGGAGGATTCTGTGTAACTGTTTACAGCATATTTTCTGAAAAGAATGCACCATGCATAAAGTTTAATACATACTAATAAATACCAAATTATCCATTAACTGCCTAGTGGTTAGTTTGTGTAAGCTGTCGCGTTTATTTACTTTTACAACTAGTGTCTATGGGAATATTTAACTTCCCATATTACAGCTGAGTCTCAGAAGAATTGATGGCTGGATTTTTTCATTTCGCTGGAAAACGAGGAAGTAAAAAAGACCAAACATTGTGAAGTGATCCCAGGGATGCTTGTAGGATAGCAGCAGGATGGGGGGTTTTGTGGACTAAAATTAGTCAAACACCTGGAGTAACAGTCTTGGTCATTTGAAGCTTGTCTTGACTGTGCGGTCCTAGTTGAGGATTAATGTGGTAGCCTTGACCAGCAGAATAACGTCAAGGAGTCTTTTGCTCTTAGAGGCTGTAAATTAATATCCAAATAGGATATACTAAGTATCAAGCCACAGCTTCGTCAAACTCTTTTGACATCCGCACGCCTCTGGAACAATGCGGGCACTAGAGTTGATGGCAAAAGCTATGGCTGACTTAACCTGTTCTGTGGAGAGTAAACTCTTGGACAGTGTTCTAGAAGACATCTAGAACACGTTAAATGCCTCTGAGTCTCCCCCATCTTTTGGAAATACTAAATGAACTTTTTTGTTAGTCTCATTATCTATTGTACCCTTTTTATCCCTGAATACCTGTCATCTTTGTCTTGAGAGAACTAAGGTTAGGAGATATTTGATGGGCTTTAAAAAAAAAAAAAATCAGAAGTTCAGTGTAGGTATGTGATGGTTTTAAGCTTTGGAAAGGCTGAGCCTCTGAACGATCTTAAACAAGGTTGGCTCCTATCGGAGGTGCTGAGTTGCAGCTATATAGTTCCAGGGCATCCTATATAGTACCTATAGTCTCCTGTTTTTCCATTATCCCATGGGTCATCTTGACATATGCCACCCAAAGCAGTAGAAAGGTTGATGTAATACATTGTGCAGCCTTTCAGTAAGTCTGTTCTTTAAGTGGAAATTTTATGAGAAGGGAGGAGGTAGTCAAAGAGCAGGGATTTCTTTTGACATTTTTCTTGACTGGCTAAAGCATAAACATTCTTTCAAAGGTGTCACAGGGCTTTATATAATGGATTTTAGTCTGCTTGTTAATGTACTTGCTTTTCTTAGTTATCTGAGTGGGTTCCATAAAAAGGCTGTAGAATCTCTCTGAAGCAGTGTCTCTGACAGGAAGATATACTGGATTTGCAGGAAATTTGAAGAGAAATGTACAGAAAAGTTGTAACACACCTTAATTTTGCAGTGATTTAGAACTAAACTTTATACAAACTGGGCTTTCTTTCTTGACTGATATTTTAATTTGCATCTGAGTTAATATATTTGAAAGCATATCGCTCCTTATGAAAGAGACATAGCTGTTATTAGTTATTTTGGATATTTGGAAACAAATACCATCTTGTCAAAGGAAGTGTTGTAATGGATTGAGTATGTAACTATGAATCAGCAAACTCTTGAATTCCTTTAGATTTTGCTCACACTAAGACTTTGAGCAAGTTACTTGGGCATTTTGCCAACATACTTTCCATGAAGTGAAAGTATCTCCCTGTTTCTGCCTTGTTTTTTCTATTTGAGAAGTTTGGCTCATGTATTACTACTTAGAAACTGGAAATCATTAAGTACAGATAAATATTAGATTTATCAGCTTCTGATTCTCTGTATAACTTCATTAGTTGTTTGCATGGCTAGGATCCGTTTTTCAGGGATACACGCTTACAAAATAGGTATTGAAGACAAAGTAATAACACCACATGGTGGCATAAAATGCTCGGTTTGCCAGGGAGGTAACCTGTAAATTAAGTGTTGTCGTAATGATGTTTGTCACTTAGAGGCTTTTTGCAATGGTACCATGGCTTTTGTATGACAAAATTTGAAAGCAGATTCTGTGTCTTGTTTGTAAATTAGGATGCAGAGAAGCATAGGAATTTCTAGAATTCATCAGACTAGAGCTGTTTGTGTCTCGTCTCTGCCAGTGACATGTAGCACATCTGGAAAACTTTTCATTGTGGAATTAAGGAGCTGGACTTAAACAAAAAAAAAAAAAAAACACAGCAACCACTCCCTCCAAGCCCTCAAATTCCCACCAACCCTCCCTGCCATCAGTTGATCACTGCAACTGAGCATTTAGTTTATTTTAGATTTGTTTATTCTTTCAAAGTGTTTCAGTCTGTCTCTTTAAACTGCTCAAAGTTTTATTATCCATCTAAACTAGAGATCTGTAGATGGCAATGGATTCTGTTGATTAGATTGTCCCTCCAAATACTCAGGTTCCTATTGATTGTTTTTAGGCATGTTGCCTTACTATTGCATGTTTTCCTTGTGCACTGACTTGGGATGTGCATGCTGAAGCTCTGAAGAATAGCAGTAAGTCTAGCACAGTAGCATCTACAAACATTTGCTTTCCAAAAATCAAGAACGTGCTCCCGAGGTAAGGAAGGTGGTCACCTCAAATTTAACTCAATTCAATGCTATATTTTATTTTATTTTTTCCTAGAAATTGAAGAGTTGTATCTTACTGTTGGATTACGGTTGCTCTCCTAACCTATAATTAGTCATTAATGTGAAGTGATGTGGTTTTTCCGAAGGTGAAAGTTCCTGTTACCTTAATAAGGCTTGTGGTTGCTCTGCATTCCCTAAAAGTCACACATGCTTAACTATTTCACTTGTGAAACCTAGAAATGCTTCTGTCTCCATAAAGATGATGGATGTTTTGGGTGTTTTTTTCTTCCCCAGAACTGCTATTAGTTATATATGCACCTTACTGTTTTATCTGTACTGTAGTGAGTCATCGCATAGTCTATTTGGAGTATGTTTTAGAAATTTATATCATAAATTAGATTGCATTTGCTCTAAGATCCATGAATACCTGGACTGTATTTGACCAACTGGCTTTATTCTCTCTATCCTATTACAGTAAACAACCAAAGATGTTAGTTGTTATTTTGAGGTAGGCGATTGTTCTGTTCGACTGAGACATTTTGTATTTGATGACATAGAAACCTGTGCATATTTTGACCTCGAAAACTGAACTTCTTTCCAGGTATACTCTCCCGAATTTGTGAACATGTAGTGGAGCTGATTAACATGCAGTGAGTTTAGCAAGAAATTTAAAATCACCAGGAGAAAAGGTATAAACTGTCCTTTATGTACTTTCTCTACGCTATCTCATACTTTTTTCAAATTGGTGCTCAGATTAAAAAGATATAGTACGTATCTCAAAAGAGAACGAGGCAGAAAGGTAAGCAGTGTAAGTGCTGAGAATGCAAGAAAGTAATTAACCAGACGATCCAAATCTGTTTTGCCATTGTACTGAAATTCAGTAGATCCTATTGTCCTACAATTCTTATCTGGAAATCCTTTCAGTAACTATTTTGATTAAAATTTATTGAAGAAATTTAAGAAAATCTGAGACAGAATCACAGAATGGTTGAGGTTGGAAGGGACCTCTGGAGATCAGCTAGTCTAAACCCCCCTCCCCCCCCCTCGGCTCAAGCAGGGTCACTTAGAGCATGTTGCCCATGACTGTCTGGACAGCTTTTGAAAATCTACAAGGATGAAGACTCCACAACCTCTCTGGGCAACCTGTGCCAGTGCACAGATAAAGAAGTTTCTTTTGTTGTTCAGACAGAACTTCCTGTGCTTCAGTTTAGGCCCGTTGCCTCTTGCCCTGTCACTGGGCACCACGCAGAAGAGTCTGGCCCCGTCCTCTTGACACCTTCCCTTCCGATATTTATACACGTTGGTCAGATCCCTCCTGAGCCTTCTCTTCTCCAGGCTGAAGTGTGCTGGTTCCCTCAGCCCTTTCCTCCTAGGAGAGATGCTCCAGGCCCTTCATCATCTCAGTAGCCCTCCGCTGGGCTCTCTCCAGTAGCGCCATGTCTCTCTTGTCCTGGGGAGCCCAGAACTGGACCCAGCACTCCACGTGAGGCCTCCCCAGGGCTGAGGAGAGGGGCAGGATCACCTCCCTCGACCTGCTGGCCACGCTCCTCCTAATACAGCCCAGTTGGCCACAAGGGCACATTGCTGGCTCGCGGTCCACTTGTTGTCCACCTGGACTCCCAGGTCCCTCTCTGCAGAGCTGCTCTCCAGCAGGTCAGCCTCCAGCCTGTCCTGGTGCCTGACGTTATTCCTTCCTAGGGGCAGGAGCCTGCACTTTTACCTGTATACATCATACTTGTTAGCTGTTCTACTGGTTTCATGTAGGTTATGTACATTTATAAACATATACCTGGCTTTTGGGCTCAGTGAGCAACACAATTGCTCATTGTGTTTAAAAAAAAAAAAAAAAAGCATGTGCCCAAATCCTAACAGAATTGGGACTGAAAAAATAAGAAATTTTCATGTAGAGTCATGTTGTGGAATAGGGTTTATTTTGACCACAGGCACCACAAAAAAATGAGTGATGTAGAATTTCCATAATACTTCTACATAGTAATTACACTCTGTCAAACTTGCATTACAGGGATTATTTGGAGCTTTTCTCACCTTTTGATTTGAAGTAGAAATACACCAAATATCGACAACTACAAATTAATTTCCAAACCAGAGTTTGACTTTTAAGGGGATCTGTAGGAGGAAAAAGCTTTGCTTTTTCCCATGTTCTGCCTCAAAAGTTTTTTTTTTTTTTTTTCAAAATATCTGATCTATATGATGACTTTTTTGAAAAATATTTTCAGAGCATCGTTTGAATTGCTGGGCTTCAAGATGAGACCTTAAGGCTGTACTGTTTTTGGTTCAGGTTTTCATTAATAATATTTAGAAGACATTGCAGGACAACTTATGGGAATACAAAAGGCATCAAATTTACACACCTTAAATGTACATAGTTAAATATACATAGTTAAATTTTGTATGCTCTGTTAATTGATAATGACTTGAGTTTTGGGTGATTATTATATCTCTGGTGAAGCAATTACTGATAGGTAAATGAAAAAATATAGTGCTCTTTCTACTACTGTGCTGTGTTACATTATCCTGCCTTCTCTGTATTCTGACATTATGCTTTGCAAGATTTTTTAGATGTGTAGAATACTTTCCCTAATAACGTGAGTATACATTTTGGTGGGGGAGAGGGAGATAGTATGGAAACACTATTATTCAGTGTAGGGACAGAGTGTTGTTTTTCGTTTGGTCATAAACCGTGTACAAAAGGAGGATCTGGAGTAGAAGAGAGGTGTTTTAGAACTCAACTCCACAATTGCAAGCGCGGATTTTAAGCAAGCGAAGCGAAGTTTAATTCTGTTAGATGTTTCTCCTGTGTGAATCCTCTTTGAAAGCACTGTAAATCTATTTCTGGACTTGTATCTTGCTGCCTCCTTAAAGTGATGGGACCCCAGATTGAATGTGAAATACACGTATTGTTGTTGCAATTACTCTTGGAACAAGTGAAAATGACCTTTAGGTTTCCTTGACAACTTAGAACTGTCTTTTAAAGTGATGTCAAGAAAACAAACGTGTTCTTGAACGCAGTACAAATTTCACAGTTGAGTCTGAGGGCTATGAAGTGGAGGGGCTATTAACCCATATGCTGCCACAATTTGAAATAAAGGTTCATGTTTGTCCGGTACTACAGTATGGCTGGGGTAATTAAAAGGAGTATATCTGATCTGCTAGTGGTGATGGCTTTGCGAAGAATGTTAGTCACCTGCTTTCTTGCTCAAACCTTTCTTTGAGCTGAAGGTTATGTGCAAGTTTGTTTAGGAAAAAAAACTTTGACTCTCAGTTACCTCTGGTTAATAGTAATTTTTTTTTTTTCCCTCCAGGATAGGAAGCTTGAGAGAGAATTCACACTGGATGAAAACAATTTTCTGAAGCTGGATATATTCCAGGAACTGTAACCCAAATGTTTCTCTGTCCGTGGAGAAGATTTCACTTTTGAAGTAACTTCTACTGAAGGTATGCACGTCTAACTTTCCCTTTTAAGCTCAGTAGTCACATCATGCTTTGTATTGCCATCTAATGGGTTTAGGTGTTTGCTAGTGCACTTGTTCTTGATATCGGATACATACAGGTATTTGAGAGAGAAGTGTAATATTGCTGGGAGGGTCCTATCAATGAGATTAAGACCTAGTTACCTACAGCTGAGAAGCTCAGTTCCTCTGCTGTCCCTGGGTCTGGAGTCTAGCCATGGTATGTTAATCAGGTTACTCTCTCCAATTTAATGTACACAGTTGATGGGAAGAAGATGGAACTTAGATTTTTTTTCTTCTGGTGGCCGACTATTGTCTTGGGAACCGTTTGTGCCTGTTTCAAGAAGTAACAACACGGAAGTGACACGGAATGAGTTTTGTCATTGATGCGGGGAAAGTGAATAAGCACTGATTTCTCGCTATTTTTTATAACATGAGGAATTGGAAGCATGCAACAAAACTATCAGGCAAGCAATTTAAAGCAAACATCTTTTGTCTGGCCAATATTCTGATGTTGTGAGTTTTGTGTAAGAGCTGTGAAACCTTTCCCAGACTTGATTTCATTTTGTTGCTTGTGGGAAAGCTACAGTTACCACCAGTAAAAGCAGTGGAACTGACTGACTCTCACTTTCCTCCTGGTAATTCAATTGGACAAGCTTTCTTAATGCTTCAAAGGCAAGAGATTTCTCAAACAGGAAGGCCTTCTGGAGTGAATAGGGTACAAATGAGGCCAGTTTCCTGCAGAAATTTACTCAACCTGCTGACCCGTTTTGTTGCAGAAAATTGTGCGTTGTGTGGATGAGCTGTATATAGAGGTGCTACTGCTGCCATAACTGATTATTGTTCTGTTGCGTGTAAAATCTGATGGTTTGAAACTGATGAAAATTGTTCTGGAAGCCATTTAGGAACTGGATCGTGTGGATGGTACCAAGAGACTTGCAGTTATCTATGCCAGTGAAACCTATAGAAATGGAAAATAATAGTCAGCAATAGCAATGTAGCTTAGTCTAACAGATTAGTCATTCTTAAGATCCAGCCAGCTCAGTACTCTCCAGTAACTCTAGCAGGAGCTAGTATACTTAGGGGAAAGTTCAGAACAATATAAATACAGAGGTGGCCCTCCTATTTTCTGACAATCATCATGTTACTGTTTTTTGAGTCAGCAGTTGCTGTAAAGTTTGACGACCCTTTCTCCCGTTCTCTTTCCTATGAACTGGTCTAAGCTAAGTTTTGGGCTTAACTGAGCTTTTTGGCTTCCATAACTTTCTGTGATGGTAAGTTCCACAGGGTCTTTTCTTCCCATCCGGAATGTAATTAGTACTTCCTTTTGCCTGTTTTTAAATTGCCTGCTTGATAAACTTATTAAATGCTCCATTCTTGCGTTCATAGGAAGCTTAATAATTTGCTCTTCACCTCCTTAACATTCGTGCCCTTTTTTAATACCTTTTATTTTTCTGAGCTGAAGTTGTTTTATGTAGTATATCTACCGTAGGAAGCTGTACTTGTTCTAGTTCTGCTCAGTCTCTTTTGAGAGGGGCTCATCCGACCAGCTGCACTTGCTCTAGCTCTACCCTGTTGTCTCTTTTGAGAGAAGCTAACCAGACCGGCACTCAAGATGCGAATGCATGAATAGTGACAAAATGGTGCAACGCCTTCTGTTTACTTGTCTATTCTTTTTTTGTAATAACTTTTGATGTTACTTTACCTCTTTGGCTGCTGCTCTATATTGAGATCCTTGAATGGAGGTGCCAAGGTCTTTTCCAAATGGTTGTTTAAAAAAAAAAAAGATCTGTTTTGTTTGTATGTTAAAACATCATGTTCCTTCAAAAGGATTGCTATCCATCACAGAGGCAGGCTGCTTGTTTGCTTTGTCTTGGCTGTGGCACGCAGGCTGGGCAAAACCCTCCGGAAGGAGAGGAGATGGCTCCTTCCTGGGAGCGACTGAGCGTGCTGGGGGGAAGCTCCCAGGGTGGGGGATGGGCAGGCAGAAGCGCGACTGTGTGAAAGTTCAGCAAGAAAAACTTACAGCGCAGTAGAGCGTGGGAGACAACGGAGATGAGCAAGGGGTAGATGAACAGCCTGGCTTCCGAACTGATGGAGAGCAAGAGACTTCCTGAGGACCCACAGGAGACTGCAGATGTTGACTGAACCTAGAAAGCTCCCAAGTTAGACTGACCCGAGTCTAGAGGAAAGGACCCGCCAGCCAGAACGTAACAGAGAGGAAGATTGTTTATCCCCTGCTTGTGTCCCTTTTCAGAAAGGAAAATTCACTTGATGTGAGGCAGTTGCTGCTCAGACATTGTCTGTTGGTAGTGTTTGTAAGCGCTGGCAGTGTGGTTTTTTTTTGGGGGGGGGAGGGGGGTACCCACTATAAAGAAAAGATTTGGGCGTCTCTGACTGAAACTACTGGATGGCCATAGGTCTCCAATCAGAGTGATGTTAAGGAACTAGGAGGTCATTGTTCAGTGGTGGCCTTTCATCCATGCTTAGTACTTCACATTTTTCAATACTGAATGAAATCTGTCATTTTATTGTCCAGCTGCTTATTAACATTAAATCATTCTGCAGCTGTTCATGTCAGCTTTGGTTAGGTTTAAGCTAAGTATTTTTGTATCACTAGTAAATGCTGCTACCTTGCTATGCATCTTTCTTCAGTGATTGCTTATGAATATTTTGAACAGCACAAGTTATTTTGGGAACTTATTGCTACCTTTTTCTATGTATGCTGCTTTTTTTTTTAAATTTCTTACACTTTAAACAGTTTGCAATTCATAAGAAACTGAGCTTTTCTTTAAAGTTGTTTGGGGAAGCACCTGCAAAATATTTTTGTGGAAATTTGAACTATCAATATTATTGTTCTTGTGCATACATCTGAGTCCTTCAAAAATTCAGGTTTGAAGCCTAATTTTGTCCAATAAAAGGTCCTAATACTTTATTATACACAGTGTATCTGTATGTTTTTGTTGTTGTGTTAGTTTGCTTAAGTCAGTTTTAGATTTCAAGTTGACCAGGTTAAATGAAGTGTTGCTTTATTCCCTGGAATTAGTTGTTCAGCAACTGCATTTTAGACCTTTAGAGCTCTTGGGTGAAGACCATCTTGTCCCAGTGATTTGTTATCGTCTGACTTACTGACATGTTCTAAAATTGTGTATTGATAATTAAATTTGATAGAGACTTTTTTCCCCTACTTAAAGGAAACTCTGTACTAAGGCTTCCTCATCTCCTCTGTAATGAGCATAAGTCGTCATAAATTGAGCAAAAAAAGGGGCAAATAAAAAAAAGCATACAATAACCTTAAATTCATGTCTGGAATCCATGTCTTGTAAGACTAAAGACAATGACTAAAATAGTTGGGAACAGAGGAAAAATCTTCAGCAACGACATAACTTCTTTAGTTACACTTGTCCTTAATATTTCCATTACAGAAATGATGCTATGGGAAAGTCAGAAGTATTCAATACTTTCTTTTTAGAAGGAAGTAGGATAATGTATGTGTCTCAGCATCCCCATGTGCTTCCACTTAGTTACTAAGTGGAAAATGTTAAATGCTTTATCAGGAGTAGGCTTAAATACAAAAAAAAAAAAAAAAACCAACAGTAAATCCTGGTAATTTCCCCCTAGTTTCCAGGAGGAGTTGCCTGTGGTGAATTCTGTCCCTCTGATGTTCCTTTTTACTGATCTTGGAGTACTGAGAGCACTGAACAAATGGACAAATAATGCAAATACAGAATTTGGATAAGGCACATTCACCCCAAGTTTTATGGGAAATAGGAGATAAGTATACTTTCGACAGCCAAAGAAACGTTAATAGAAATGTTGCAGGATTTTGTAGGTTTTGTGATACCTAGAAATGCTACTTTTCACTGGTGAATTTTACCCACCTTTCAATTTTGCAGACTTCTCCTGACTTTTTTCCTAGGAAAAGTAGAGGTCTTTCTACCAAACCTAAGGGATCTCAGCTTTATAAAAGCTCCCTCCCCAGCCCCAGCACAGTTGTTAACTAAAACCCGGGGCACAAAGTGAAAATCGCTGATAAATAAGATGAAGTGAGACAAAAGGCATAAAAATGTAGTTATTAAAGGCCTCAGAAATGAGCAAGGAGTTTTTTGACATTCTACTTTTGTGAAGAATGACTTTGGAGCAAACGTAATAAGAAATACCTTTTTAAAATTCACAATTATGTCCAGCTTCTGTGCTGTCTGTCAGGGACTGCTTTGTATGTTTCCTTAACTCTTGGTGGAAGCCTTTGCATCCCTTCTAAATACTTGAAATGTATCTATATTTATCTCCTGGAGTGTATTCTCGGCAAGTAGCAAGTTTCATTGCCATGACAGTTTCATTCTCCATGTATGAAATTAAGAAACACTTTATAAAGCAGTCAAAGTTTTTAAAAATAGCAGACTATGGTTATTGAATTACTAATTCTTTTTGCCTTTTATTTCTGAATTAGAGTATATAGTAAGATAAGCAGTTTTAAAGGGCTTTGAAATATCTGCCTGAAAAAGCAAAATCTAAAGCAAAATCATCTATGTAAACTAGTAAACTGAGGTAGTAAGACCTGAGATGTGACAGGCATCAAGAGAAAGGTACTCTTTGTAGATACGTGCTTAGGCCTGATTTGGATTATAATTTGAATGTAACAGTACTTTAGTGCAATTGTACACATATCTAACACATGCAATGCACTTAATTCATTTGCAGTTATAAAATGGAAAGGTTGTGGTATTAACTTTTTCAGAAAAATGTAGCAAATATTTTGTCTTCCTGTTGCTACACTGAATTACATAGGTAACTGCCTTCTCTGAGTTGTGGATGTTTATTTCTTGCACTCAAAATACAGGGAGGTAGAAGAAACATAGGGTTGACTTGAATGCGCTGAAGGGAGAAAACTGCTATGACAAAGCTGTGTCCCACCACAGTTGCACAGGTGAGCGCTGTTATAAACTAGACTTGAAGATAAGCTTATATAGTTTCAAAGCCAGCACC